AGGCTCTGCATGTTTTTCTTACAATCAGTATCCTGCTCTGTTGGGATAGGCTGGCTTATCTGGGACTGGAACCACAGGCGTGGTCCTGCTTTGCTCAAAAAGAATTCTGAGGTTTGGTGTCATGGTGTGCGCCTTTAATCCCAGAACTTGGGAGGCAGAGGCAGGAGAATCTCTTTGAATTTGAGGACATCCTGGTCTACAAAGTGAGTTCCAGGACAGCCAGGGCTACATAGTGAGACCCTGTCTCAAGAAGATAATGAAAGAGGAGAAGGAGGAAGAGGAGGAAGGAGAGGGGGAGGAAGAAGAAGAACTCTGCTCAGAACTAAACTAGCTGCCGGCTCTAGGGAGGATTCGTACTTCCTCTCCTCCAACACTGCGTTGTGCCATCTACCTGCCTATTCTCCCATAGCCTCAAGAGTCAAGTTACTTCTTAGAATGCTGAAATTTGGGATTTTGTTGTTGTTGTGGGTTTTTTTGTGGTTTTTTGTTGTTGTTGTTATTGTTAAACCAAAGGAAAAGGGAAAAGTAGCCAGGATGAAAAACTGCTCAAGAAAGGGTACCCTGGGAGGCAACGCTTTCTGACTCCTGAGCCTGAATACTCTGCACAGCATCCTCCCTTCCCCTCTGAGACTGCTGAGATGGTGTGGGACTTTAAAGGCACCACCCCTCTCTGTGAACACTGTGCCACGAAAGCAGAGTGCGGCAATGGAGGTGAGGAAGAGGTCCTCCAATTAGGGCTCATGTGTCTGGTCAGTTCCAAATGTCCAGCCTTTTGAAGCTGAGCTTCTCTGACAAGAAACTGAGCTAGCCCAGCTAGCATTCTCATGAACCTAGATACTCTCCACAGCCTCCCTTGGGTGGGCTTTTCTTCTTGAAATGGTGGGTTTCTCCTGTGAGTACTGTTCTGCTATACCTGGGATAATGGGATGATGTTATCCCTGCTACCTCAAGAGCTACTAAGTAGGATTTTAGACTTTCCTGCATCTAGAACTAGGAGCATATACGTCTATAGTCATTACAAACCACCTTGCTTGGAGTATTCTATTATAGCAGCACAACTCAGGATGATACGACTCATATAGTTCTCAGTAGGAGCAACTGGCTAGTCAGGGGCATTTTCTCTGTGTGTAACTTGAGTTTCCTCTGTTGTTGTTTTTTAGGAGTAAACTATGGGACCACTTGGAAGACATGTACAGTGAAGGAGGATGAATGAAGTCATGGGAATCCTGGAATCATGTGAGGTGGCTCAGAAACGGAGAGGAGGAGGAGAAAGGCTTACTCCTGTGGGAAAGCTGTCCACGCAACTCTTCAGAACAGACACGGACCAGTGAGGTGAGACTTGATGGCGGCAGTCCGTTGCAGAGATGGGGAATGGACTAATGGGTTATTGAGGGTAGGAGTTCCAAGGAACTCTGCATGGTAGAAGCAGGCATTTCAGTACCAAGACCCTTGTTTATGCGCGTGATGCTCTAGGAGGCGCACTGGGTTATGGGGAGGGGACCGGGGTTGTGAGACCTAAAATGGTCCTGATTGCAGGTGACTGGTTGTGCCCGGAGGATACTTCCTGATTCCCCTGGAAAGGTGAAGCTTTCATGCTGGATTGCCACTTCACCTCCAGCTTCTCCCGTTACCTCTTTCCAGATGGTGGTGGTCTTGGCACCAAGGAGAGGAGAAAGGAGACGAGTAGAAGGAGGTACATTTCATAGCGACATCCCCAATGGATTGCATGAATGTCACAACTCCTACTATTAGCAATGAATGTCACAGCTCCTACTATTAGCAATTATATTCCCTGGAGCTAATGAACCACCCCCAGTTAGGACACAAACGGACCAGACGGAGCTGTTCAGAGCTTATTAAGTAACTTATTAAATATTAAAGTTATTGAGTATTAACCTTATCAGTAGCTTATTAAAAAGCTTATTAAACATGATACAGGGCAGTACCATGAAGTGAATAAAAGTTACAGTGATTATACTAAAGAGCTAATGATACAGAGAGGCGCTCTTAGTAGAACAGGCACGGAGCTAAGCATGCTTTAAGTATTCTGTCCCCTAATCCAGAAAACCAACACTGCCACCATCACCCTTGCAAACCTGAGCTGAGGCCTGGATGTAAAGCTTCTTGCCATTAGAGTTGCCTACCAAAAACCAAAGACCAAAGGGGCATGGGACCACTCTATTACAGGTGGTAAGACTGAGCTTCCCCCCTCCAGCACACATGGTCAGCACAGGGGTTGTTTGCTGAATTAGAGATAGTAGGATTAGAGAGAAATGCCGCTGCAAAAAGTTGAGTTCCAGGGGAGCAACAGGGGAAGGATGCTTTTTGTGAAGTCTTGAAATGGAAATGCATGCTCTTTAGGCATATGTGTGTGGGGTGTGTGTGTGTGTGTGTTTTACTGGATAGTGAACCTGGGTCCTGGTACATTCTAGGTAAGTGTGTTGCTTTTCCACTGAGCTGTAGCCCATCTCTGTTGAAGTTTTTGAGACAGGGTCTCTCTAAGCTGCCCATGTTGACCTGGAACTCATCCTGCAGCACAAGCCTTGAACTTTTTTCACATATGCATGTATATCTGATACATATAAATTTGCCTATATGTTTGCTGGTTTGTGGGCACGCATGTGGGGAGTTGAGTGTGATTTTAAGTATGCATCCATGCGAGCTCTGAAGCCAAGACTGTCTTCCTCCATCATTCCCCACTTTATACCTTGAGGCAGGGTCTCTTGTTAAACCCAGAGTTTTAGCTAAGATGGACTTACTCTAGGAATGTCCTGTCATTGCCTGGGTGCTGGGACAGCAGGCAGGGCATCACACCCACCCTGCTTTTGGGAGATTTGTAGACCCAAATGGATCTTCAAGCTTCATAGCAAGGGCTTCACCCACGAATGCGTCTCTCCAGGCCTAGGCTTTGAACTCATGATTCTCCTGCTCCAGTCTTCTTAGTTTCTACTAATTCCAAACATTTTTCTTTCCCATTTGCTGTTTGTATTTTGGGCTTTGTTTAAGGGTTTCTTCCTGGCCTATGGTGACATGCTTGCAATCTCTAGGGCAACTTCTCTGTGTGTCATGTTTCTGTGTTTGCTGAAATTTTTGACTCTATCATTATTGTACTGGTCTATCTCTATGCTAAAACCACATCATCTTCCCCACTGCAGCAGTGAAAAGGCCCCCCACTGGGTGGTTCCCACAGTTTATGTTCCGATATTGCTCCCTCCTCCCTGCTACCTCCTTATTGTCTATCCTTCTTGTGGATGGAATAGCTAAGTTATTTGTGGACCATGGTTCTATAGACACCTTAGCTGCACCTTGTCAATTTTCTTAGACAATTCAGCCTGGATTTCCATCCCTGCACCACTGAGTCAATAAATAACTGCAATATTGTCTATTAGGCTCGCATGTTGGTGCTAATATAAAATGGGAAACTATGTGATTTCTCAGCCCTAGCTACAGTGCTCAGAAGAAGATAGTCCGCTTTTGGGTTCAACAAGGGGTCGGGAGACCTGAACTAAGGAAATTCCATTCAGCACCCTCTCTAATGGTCCCCACAGAAATCTCACAGCGTCAGCACATCCATGCATCTGCCACTCACACAGGCTTGTTCCAAGGGCGGCCCACTGTAGCTCAAACACATCTATTCATTCTGCCCCCTTGCCAGCTTCCTCAATTACTGCAAGAGCTCTTCCAACTCTTTGGTCCCCAGCAGTAGAAAATCTGAAACTTCCTTAGGCTTTGAGTCACCATCCTTTCCTCTTTCATAATTTATCACACTGTCAACTCTGTGCCAGAGTCTCTGGAATCTCACCTCTCCTTCTTCCCCATTGTTGCTGTTCTCTGACCTTCTGGACAGTTCCCCCAGCCTCTTATGCTCCCAGTCTCTCCAACCCCATCTGGTCCATTAGCTACTTGTCCACTGAAGGGAGGATAGTGGGAGCCCTCTGCCTGAGTAGAAGGAATGACTTGCCATCACACTGCTCAATAGAGTTAATACTGTCATAAAGTCCCTTCAGTGTTGCTGCCCCCACCCATTGCCGTACCTGGTGGTTTCTCCACCACTCTGCTTGGCATTGCTGGAGATGCTATGGGATGTTCTTCCCCACGGGGATGCTGTGATGTTGAGTTGAGAATGTCTTCTGAGATCTCAGCGGTGGGCATTTTGTTAATACAGCCATTATGGGGCTTCCCTGTCCTGGTGTGCACATCCTTCCATGATTGTCTGCAATCATACCTTCCAGCTTTCTGAAAGAAGCTCTGCCAAACTGTTTACACTGCCCCGGAGGCACCAAGACTCCCTTTCTTTACAAGAACCCTTTACTTGTCCTCAAATACCTTCCTTTCCTTTCTCTCGGTTCATTCTCGAAGATCCATCTCACAGCCGTGTTTCCCGTGGTGCCTACAGATTTTCCACGGAAAAGCAAAAGATGATCCCGGTTTCCACATCCCTCTTCTCGTGTTTGCTGTAATTCTCAGGCCTGCCTTGCTGCACTCAGCTTTGTACGTAGTTGGGCAAACTATGTCGCTGCCCCTGAGCACACACTCCCTACATGTGTGTGCTTTGCTGGGTTACCTGTTTTATTGTGGCAGGGGAGGGAAACAGTTTTGTCTTCAACCCAGGCCTAAAGAAAAGTTTAATTACTGGTACTGGTATTTGAGATTATTTTATGTCACCTGACATCAGACCCTTCTTTCCATGCCCCAAGAAAACATACTCCCCAACAGTGGAATCTTCCCCAGATAAACAGTACTGGTGTCCTCAGGGAACTGACCTCAGTAACCAGAGGAACTGGGTCTCAAAACAGGGAGAGTAGGTCAAGGCTGTCTTAGGCGCCATTCCTGTCCCGGAGAGGGCGCTGCTCCTAAGACAAATCCCCAGGGCTGGGAAGGAAATACCAGAGATTTCCCACAGGACTCTAGAAGCATCAGTTTGCAGATAGAGTCCGCGCGGTCGCAGAGAGCCTGCCCACAGACATGGCGGCGCCCTGCTCGGCTTCGCGTCGCCCGGACCGTGGGGCCGGCTGGGCTTTGCCAGTTCTCGGGGACTTCCTGCACGACTGGCATTTAAACACGCGCCGGGGGCGGCGGGATGCTGCTGCGGATGCGGAGTTGTGTGCGCGGCCGCCTACTCGGAGCTGCCTGGGCACCACAGCAGCGGAGCCCGAGCATCCTCTAGCCACGCATCTTGGGGAGACCCAGGACCTCCCCGCCACCTCCCCACCCCCACCCCCACCCCGCACCGGCTTCCCAGCAGGTTCTCTTTTAATTTCCAAGGCTGCAGCTCTCCTAGCTCAGCTCACAGCATCCTGTTCACCAGCCCTGCTGCGGATGAAGCAGGGACTGGGCTGGGTCCAGCAAGTGGGGCAGCACGGGCCATGGTGCATCTGAGCCCGGTGCTCCGGTGAGGTGGCGGTGGTGACTCGACCCAGGCGGGTGCCTCTCCCTGGAGCCTTTCCCTAGCTGCCACAATGTTCAGCTGGCTGGGTAACGATGATCGTCGCAAGAAAGACCCCGAGGTCTTCCAAACTGTGAGTGACGGGCTCAAGAAACTCTACAAGAGTAAGCTACTGCCCCTGGAAGAATATTACCGCTTCCATGAGTTCCACTCGCCTGCCCTGGAGGATGCTGATTTCGACAACAAGCCCATGGTCCTCTTGGTGGGCCAGTACTCTACTGGGAAGACCACCTTCATCAGGTGAGCCGCGGCTGGGTGCTGAGCCTTCAGGGTGACATGGAAAGTCTTGATTAAGGGCTCCGAAGAAATCCCTGTGGGAGGCCTCAAAAGTTGATCCTGCTGCCAAGTCCCCCTTGAATCCTACGTGATGCCGCTCCGCTTTCTTAGCCCTTGGTCAATTTGAAGCGTTCAAATTAAGAATCATCTCTGTTGTCTGATTTGTGCATTGTGAAGCTGAGGCAGAGAAGGAACCAGGCATCTCGTATAGCCGGGTGTCATAACCCTCCCTTTGGCTAGGGCCTCTCGTCTTGTGTAGAGCAGCCTTACCTTTACAACTGAGTTGTTCTCAGGGCCACAGGCCTGGGAGTAGTGGTGGTGGACTGTGGACCTTGGAGCCTCTTATTGTTTTTTGGGGTTTTTTTTTTGTTTGTTTGTTTTTTATCATTTTTCCTTCTCTGTGTCAGAGCTTTTGCGTCTTTCTCTTAGAGACTCAAAGGATGTGAAGCAAGCCCAGAAACAGAATACTTTTAATATCTGTTTCCTTCTTTGATCTTAATAGTTCAGTAATAATATTAAAGACTCACCAAAGTAGAGGAGATACTGACGTGCCTCATCCAGCCCATTGACTTTGCAGGCAAGATAGCAGAGGTGATGCGGAGGGGAAGTGATGGTTCAGAGCCACACAGTATGGATGCAGACCTGGGATGTGGCCCTTGGTGCATGTGAGGAAATGTTAGCTAAAAGCCTATAACTTCAACAGTGAGTCTTCCATTCCTTTAAATGATAGAGTTTGGGGGCTAGAGGTATCCTTAAGAAGTCCGGCAGGAATTCAAAGAGAGAGGTCTGCGTATTTTCCACCAGAGTCAGGAACATCCCTATCTGAGGAGCAGGCCTCTCTCCGTCTTCAGTGTGCACAGTCTGCAAGGCCAGGCTGTCTTTGCAAAGGCTGAGGAGTACTTATGGGTTCTTACAGTGTGGAGAGAGGGCTTGGTGCCCTGCGAGAGTCAAGGGTACTCCCCTGCAGAAGCAGCTGTCCTCTTATTTCTGGGTTGGTGTTTGTGATGTATAAAGCCATGTGCTTTGTTTGGTGATGAGATCAGGAGAGTTGACAGCCCGGTGACTCATTTTCTTCAGTGCTAAACTTCTGGGAGCACTGCACACAGCCTGCTAACCTGTCATGTCTGAACAGGGCACCAAGTCAAGTTTGTCTTTGGGCTGTCCACTAGACCAGAAGCTTTACAAGGTCAAATGATTTCTAAAGTGAGGGCCTGGGGTGGGGGTGGGGTAATGGTTTGCTGACTGTATTTTAAATAGGAGAGTTTAATCAATTGCTTTCACTTTATTCTTAAAAATCTAAATCACTTTCCTTAAAAAAAAACCTAATGAAAGATGTAGAGCTATTTTTAGAAAAATACATGAATACCCTAAATTTGCCTGTAGTGTTGAGTGGATTTAACTGGAAACACAGAGGGAGAATCTTGGATTCAAGATCAGCCATTCATTTTTATTAAGCATCGATTGGTACCAAACGTGTTTCAGAGATACCTGGGTTGGGTACACAAGGTCTTTTGTGATCAGTGCCTTCCAGTCTGTTAGGTTTTGTCTCATGGGAAATGTGGGCCACCTGCAAACTGTTCTTAGCTTTGCACAGCCTGCCCTGGCCCTCTGATCATCCTTGGTCATGACCCTAAGGACATTAAGCTGCTGGAACATCTTCCCACAGCAAGGGTACTTGCAAGGTAGGCTCTGTGCCTGAGCCTCTCTCCAGGACCTCAGCTCTGGGAATTTCCCAGCAGCCATCTTGCAAAATGGGAGGGAAGAAGCGAGGCATGTGTTTTAAGAGCAGTGTCCCGAGCAGAGAAAGGTTTAAAGTATCTTTGTGTGAGATACCCTCCTGATTTTGCCTGAGTCATCATTGGCTGTTACTAGGTCTGAGAAAGTGGCAGGGTGACGCACCCCACATTAGCCCTTATCTGAGGGGGACAGAAGGCTAAGGGGGCAGATCCCTCCCCTCTCTTATCCTCCAAGCACAAGGGGTTCCCCTTCCCGCTCACACCAGTAACTGAATTTAGCTCATGCTTCCAAAGCTGTTTCCCCTCTAGAGAGAGTCACCTGGTAGTGCAGGAAGGGGGAGAGTATTCTCTAGCAGAGCAAGAGGGGGCATAACTTTTGGGTTTTCCCAAACCAAACTGCGCACTTTGCTTCCCCCTCATAAAATCCAACAATTTCATTTATTACTACAAAGTAAAGAAGCGGAAAAAAAAGAAAATGGAACAAAACTGTCCCTAACTTAAATCCCAGGAGAAAACATTTTTAAAAAATATTTATTTATTTATTATGTATACAATATTCTGTCTGCATGTATGTCTGCAGGCCAGAGGAGGGCACCAGACCTCATTACAGATGGTTGTGAGCCACCATGTGGTTGCTGGGAATTGAACTCAGGACCTTTGGAAGAGCAGGCAATGCTCTTAACCACTGAGCCATCTCTCCAGCCCCCAGGAGAAAACATTAAAAATAATATATTTACCTTCCCTGTACTACAGCTGTTTTATACTCTGTTGAAGACATGCCATGAATGTAATTTTGTATGTTAGAGGTTTTTTTTAGTTATCGGTATAGTGTGAATATGCCCCACATAAACGTCGTTTTGTGGGCTGTATAATATTTCACTTCATGAAGATGCAGTTTGTTTCTTAATTAGCTGTACTGCTTTTGAGCATTCCTGGTTGTTCCTAATTTGTTCACTACTGCAAGATTACCCTGAATAGCATCTTCCGCACAGACCGGCTATCTTTTTTCCAGAGTTTCCCAGAAGCAGAATTACTAGGCCAAAGGTTGTGCAGCATTTTTCATAAATATTTAATTTAAAAAAGTTCTGTATTAAGAGTCACATTCTGCAGTTGTCTTACAAGATGGCAGTAGGCAAAACTGGCACTTTCCTCTGTGCGCCCTTGTCTGTCCCTTGCCTTCCCATCTTTGTCTGAGGCCTGCACCTCAAAGGAACCTTTCCCCTCCAGAAACAAGGGTTTGCGCCTTGGTTCCCCTCGTCCTTGGCGTCTCCAGCCACTTCCAGCTCAGTTTCATCCACACCATGAAGTCCTATTTCTTGTCCTGGGAAGAACACACAGAAAGGACATTCTTCTAATAACTAATTAACGTGCTATGATCTCTGCCTGAAATAACTTCCCTGGCCTGAGGCCCGGCAACCCAGAGTAATAAAATAAACAATAAATTGGTCTGTGGGCTGCTCCTTCCAACACAGTCTGTCTTTTTGGAGCACAGTAGCTCTGTGTTCCTGGCAGCCTCCTTCCGCCTCTGCTGTTTCTCTTGCTGGCCTGCAACTCTAAGCCCCTCCTTCCTTGGACCTGTTAGACCCGCTGGCCACCCCTTCCTGTTTCTTTCCGCGCCTCCTCTGTCTGCTGGCGGTAGGGGTGGATGTGGACCATTCCAGGTACCAGCGGCTACTGTGGCCTCCTTGAACCTTGCCCGGGCTGACATGGGGAGGTCTGAGATTCAGAACCCCCACTGGAATGTCTGGGTTGATCTTGAGCCTCTTCTTTAGTGGGCCTTGAACTTCGGGGATGCTGGGTGTTCCAAAGTGAGGCCATCTTAGCTGGCCCTTTGAAGTGCTCACGCTTCTTTAAGAACTCTGCAGCCTCCACCGAAGGTGACTGGTGCAGCATTTTCTTGGGGTGGCACCATCTCTTATCAGTCCCAGGATAGATAGGGATGGGGTCCCAATCCTTACCCTGGCCTTTAGTATAGGATCACCCCCAGGAAAGATGGTTTTCTTGGAAGCCAAAGGTAGAGAGGCCACCATCCCAGGGACAGCCACTCATCTGTGGACCCAGTTCTGCCTGCAGCAGTACCTACACCACTTCAGGCTCCTGCCAGCCTGAGCCAAAGGATTCTCTTATCGTCAAGGGTCCTGGTCTGTTGGGTTCCAAATGGGGCTGGGTGAATATCCAGTTACTTTCTATCTAAGGCTCATTGGTTTCTGAAGGGAGCAAAGCATTTCAGGCTAGAGGAGCTGTATCTGCCTGCCTCCGGTCCAGTTGAGGAATCACCTTGAAGCCAGGCATCTGGAGGGCACTAGAGACACCATTGGAGAAAGGTTTGTATCCTGTCTGCATTGGCTGTGGCACAAAGGTCTTACCCAGGCTAGGTCAGCAGAACCTGGGTTCCCCTACTTCCTCGCCAAGAGACTGATAAGAAGGATAAGGTCACAGCAGCATTCCTCTCTGACCTTCAGTTTCATTATCTGTACAGTGTGAGTCTTAACAACCACCTCATGGGAATTGGATAGTTCATAGCCAGTTCAACACCATTTAGTTCCAGGTACCATGATGGGGGTGGTGCCATTCCCTCCCTTCTTTCTAGCTGAGGTTGACTCTCAAGAGATAGGGGACAGTCTCCTTCCAGCACTGCCACAGCCTGATGAAGGTAAGGGCATGCTGCCTCCCCATACTATATACAGAAGGGCAGAAGTCTGGGTGGGCAGACTTGTCACAGGGTGGAGCCAGGAAGGGAATGCTAAGAGCAGACGATCTGAGCTCTAAACTATCCTTCTGCAGCAAGCCCTTCCCGTAGCTGAGGGTCCTGTGCACACGGCACCATGGCCAGTTTGCCTGGGGCGTGTAGCTAACTTTTCTTAACCTAGCCATAGAGAGCCTTCCACCCACTTTGTGTGTACACTGTTACTGTTTCCCTAAAACTCAACCAGGCTAATGGAACAAGAATTATCCTGACCTTGTTTTAAAGTAGAAGGAGCCATGGCTGAGTGACCCAAAGATACAGATGCGTGACACAGAATCTCGTGATACTGCACAGCTGTGCAGAGGAGGAACCCTGAGGTCTGCTGTTGCCCAAATGAGGGGAGAGTGTGTGTGGTTTGGGGGAGGCGACGATGAATCTGTTAAGGCTTGAGTACACATCTGAGCCGCGTCTAGAGATGAGGTGGGGATCTGCCGAGTACCTGCAGGCGACGTGGAAGGGATCATTTTCTCTAATTACTGTTT